GGGCCGCTGACGGCCGGCACCGCCATTTATTTTTTATGTTTTTAAACGGCATCATTTAAGTTGCGCTGACAGGCGACAGAGGGCCGTTCAGCGGGCCGTTTCCACGCAGCGAGGCTCCCCGCCCCCCCCCCCGACTAGCGTGCTCTACCAATTTGTGTGGGCTGGGCTGGGTGAGATTCCAGGGCTGATGTTTAGTCCCAGTCCGCCCCTGCCTCCACCTACCTGTGTGAGTGCGGGCTTTCCGCATTGACTTTGATCAAAAGCAAGTACCGGTCAAGGCTGCAGTCAGAGGATGATCTATTCCTGTCTACATTGCATCCCCCCCGCATCATCCGCCTGTGCGCATCAAAGACACAGACTCATTGTTCCCACTAAAGTAGGGGTGAGTGTAATAAGGAGGCAAAGTTGACGTTCAGTGTGTACACACACTGAGCATATAAGGATTTATCCACGATGTTGAAAATGTAAAAAAAACAACAAAAAAAACAAAGATAAAAAGGTTTTAAAAGGTTATTGTTTAATGTTTTAAGGAGGTGACGCTACTCAGCCAATCAAATCGGTGTAGTCAGTGAGTCAGCACGATAGATTCAAACACAGAGACGAGACAAGAGGAGAGAAACAGCAGTGAGTAATTTCAAATGACGTGCTCAAAAAAGAGAAAGGTAGACAGCGAAAACAGAGCATTTAATGACATTTTCTCTTCCTGGACCTCTTTGAAATGCAATTGAATGCCCCTGCATTAATATCAATAATAAATGGGAGGGGGGGCGCGGCTGTTCTTATGTTCTCTGAGGGGAGGCTCACCTTCCCACACTTTGAAAACCCCTGGTCTAATGTATTTGTTTGTTCATTTGTTGTGACTGTGTTTCTCTGTGAGCACAATATATTATACTGTAATTGCCCATTGGTGGGAATAATACAGTTACAATTTAAATTTGTCAATGGGCTAAATCAAATAAAAAATGTGTGAAATAAATTATAAATGATTGAAATACTGTATCTCCACCAGTGTCCTCAGACATTTACAAGAAATGTGTAAATGCGACCCCTGCCAGCGCTGATGCATGCGAGGTGGGTGGACAGCCCACTGGCAGTGAGCCAGTGGCTCCAGCTAGAAAGCAGCTGAAGATGAAAAGGAATGCACAGAAGAAATGCAAAGCGCTCAGCTAAATCCTCCCCAATGATTTAGAAATGCAGCATCCAGCCACTGTGAATCTTAAAAAGCCACACAGGGGCATTTAAAAACAGTTTGATGAGCACTTTCCCTCCCTGCCTTTCAAAAAGAAAGATGTGAATATGTATCGCTATATCTTATGGAGGGCATTAATTCAAGCAAAGGGTTACATTCACACCGTATTTTCACACAGGGATTTTCAGTGGCCTAAGGAAGGCTTCTAATTTACACTTTAATGATAGGAGGCTGACACAAATGCTAAATATTTCCTACATTTACAGGCTAATCTCTCTTATCCTTAAGGACTAGACAGCACACTGCATGGGGTCACTTTTCAAATTAAAATTGGATTCACGATGCTCACGCTGAGAGATATCACCTTAACTTCTTGCATATTGATAACAAATTAACATGACTTTGAAAGTAGCCAAGGACATTGGACTGTCCCAACAGTTTGGTTCTGAAGTGGCCTGTGGGAAACATAACATGTATTCATATCAGAATGTGGCCGATTATTAATTGAATTTTATCAGTCAAGGCCACTGACTGATTATAGAACAAGGTAAAATGACTGAATGCTACTTTTATCAGGCATGACTCAGGGTATTACACAGAGGTGGGACAAAACTGAATTAACACCTGCTTCTGGTGCAGGTGGGTATTGAGACTGTATTGGAATGGGGCCAGGATATACCCCTCTGCTGCAGTTCAGCAAGGAAAGACCAATTACTCTCCCAGGATACATATTGCATGAATATGTTATAATAAAACAGATTGGACCTATCCTTTAAATGACATGCATTATTATTGTGTTGATTGATAGAGATTACACATATCTCAATGCATGTTTATTGTGTTTCAAATATGGCTGACAGCCGGTTCTCTTTGGTTTACAGTTGTGGCTTTCGAGAATTGGACTTTAATTTGTAGGTGATTGTTGTATACTAACTGTAAGTTAGCTATAGAGCAAACTAGCTAGCAAAAAGTAATCCATTCCAAGTAAAAGTTCTGCTGACGGCCAACCGAATGCCTCCTTATTCCCAGACACCAGCAGTCTTTAACCTTCTAGTGGTTTTCAGATTCACAAAATGTAACTGGCTGAACAAGTGGAGTCAGAATCAACAAGCAACTTTTATCAATGTTAAAGATGATGCTCTAGGAAGGGCTTGACTGACAGAGGAAACCATGATTCCATTGCAAAGCAGCAAAAAAAAGTGTTATGTTTGTACAAGGACAACTTTACAGACTTTATCACAATTTTAAGGAAAACAGATTTGATGTTTCCATATTTGTCATACGGCATAATTTTTTATCGTAAATGGTGGCAACTTTTTTGAGATTTGGTGGGACAACATAACAATTAACACTACTTAATTGATCAATAAAAATCAATCAAATCTAAACATAATCGAACCTAATGTCAGCTAACGTCAAAATAGTATACACTTGCAAGTAAAGAGGGTAGAAGGTACCATTTCACACAGAAAATATAAATATTTAAGAGATTACACTGTTCAAACCATCATTTTATACAAAGTTAAACAGAAAAATGAGATGTCAAGACGGATCTGTCAGACTCGACTCAGCTCAGCAGATGACAGTGACTGATTGATCTACCTGCGGGGTAACTTTGTGACTGCATTGTCAGATAAGTGTGCACAAGGCTCGGAAGAGCGGGACAAGCTGAGACATATCCCACCAAACCAAATCCTTCCAAATTTCAAAGCTCAGAGATGCTTACGAAATAGCGTGGCAAAATCCATCTTTCTGACAGAATCATTTCCAAAGCCCAAACCTTCAACGGGGCTCCTGGATGCACTTCTGAGCGCTGCCCGCCTGGGAGTAAGCGTGTCAATGTGTGTGTGTGAAAGGTATCGAGAATAAGAGGATGAAGTGTGAGTCATTCAATACAAAATATAAAATGTGTGTGTCGGTTGTTTCTGCTTTCTTTCAGATATTCCATAGAACAAGAGTGTTACTAACTAATTTAGTCATGCACCCTTTACTGGTTTCGTCTGTGTGCCGGCTTGTAAGAGTTTGTGCTAGCGTGTTGGTGTGTGTTAAGGAGAAGATTACTGGTGTGGACCTTTCAAAGGGTTGTTCTCATTTCTCAACAAATACGTCTGAGGCACCAATTCAAACAAGTCGCCTCTCAGCACTGTGTGTGTGTGTGTGTGTGTGTGTGTGTGTGTGTGTGTGTGTGTGTGTGTGTGTGTGTGTGTGTGTGTGTGTGTGTGTGTGTGTGTGTGTGTGTGTGTGTGTGTGTGTGTGTGTGTGTGTGTGTGTGTGTGTGTGTGTGTGTGTGTGTGTGTCATCTCCTAAAAAAAAACAGGCTGCGTGGTACAAGTTTGAATCCAAGGATTATACCCTGAGGCAAATGTACTGAATGAACTGGACCTTATGGTAACAATCCTGTGAGGTGGAACTGAGTGCAGGGAGGACACTCCAGATCTAACAAACATACACTTGCTCTCTCATACTCACAAATCCCGTCCCCATGAGGTTTCTCTATTGTTCATTCATTCCGTTATTCAGCACAAGCCTTGTCACTTATTCTGATCTTGCATATAAACCAAGACTTTTATGACCAACGTTAGAAGTTTTGTTAAATTTTTCAGTGGAGTCAGCCATATTGTTGGCACTTGTAGCCAGCCTTCAGTTAATAGTTGTTGAACAGGTTCACAAAGAACAACATTTTCCATATTGGGTTGATAAGTTTTTTCAAGTAAACAGCCATTTGGATAAAGATAATACAAGAGATGTCCTGATATTTCAAATAATAATTGAGGAAGGTTTAAAAAAAAAAAAAAAGTTGACAAAACTTGGTTGCAACCAGTTAGCAACCAAGCTACCATTGCTAGTTTGTCATCCAGCTACATAAATAGAGAACTGATGGAGATCTCAAGCCACTTTGTACAAAGATATCTACATTCCTCACTAGGCTTATAAGATATTCTAAAGAAACAGGTACCTAAACGAGTGAGCCAGAACTATTGAGAAGACCATGGACTTTCTACTGCCAAATGACGGCTGGGTAATGAAGCGACCACCCCTACACAAGCCAACCATGCAAATGGAGGAAGGGTGGGGTCACAGAGCTTTGAAACTATTTGGAGCCATTGAGGTGCCTCAGCATGAAACCTTTCTTGCAGTTGTAAAATGTTGATGAATTAAAACACACATCTTGACACGTTCAAGAGAAGTTGAGGATAGGTTGTATGGGGTTTTTGATTGTTCAACTAATGAACAGTGGAGATGATAATGAAGTATTAAAACATAACATTTTGTGTCACAATTGGAAAGGTAACAATAGCACTTTTACATGTAAGGAGATGTATCATCATAATTGGTCTGCTCATTTATTACATGCATTATTAATATGCAGAAAATCCTTTATTGAAGTTTCTGCTAAATAGATTTTTCTCAAAGTGCCATATTAAAAATGAATTAACTGTTCGGCAGAGTCATAGACCCCATCTCTGACTCCAAATGTCTGTAATGAATGTCTCTGATATGTTTATGCAGCATTTTCTTTAGAACATCTTCTTGCTGTCCTGTCCTTGAGTCAGTAAAATGTTTCATTAACAAACTACAATTTCTATATTTCTCCAAAATGTCAACGCTTGCACTGACAGGGACAAAGGATTCTTATTTTCTGAGACACAACACTGAATTTAGTCAAGTTTGGATCAAAACGTGTTTGGAAAGAAGCCCAATGAGCCATGAGGACCAAAGTTAATAAAATAAAAAAATAAAAAAATAGTATTTCTCTATGGGGAAGAAATATGACATTTTATATTTAAAATAAACCTTGTGGTCTGCTTACCTGTAAATGGGATCCTGCATCACCATCATCTTGCTCTCATCCCACGTCCACTCCTTCCTCTGTGGAAACAGAAACAAAACAGTAAGTTCAAACCAAATTTAAGATTTTAAATAAGTAAGCCAAAGACTGAAGTAAGGGAACTTAATCTGTTAGACGAACATTAAACCAAAAACTGTAAATTATTTATGCCCATTGTCTTAAAATCCCAAGTGAACTGTATAAAATAATGTCTGTGTGTAGATAACATAACATTTATTTTTATTTCTACTTTGCTCCGGCCATCGGTTTCAATTTACCTTCCGGTTTAATGCCATGATCAAAATGTCAACACATGAACAGCGCGCAGGAATTATTCATATTGATTTCTATCTCCACAGTGCTTTGTTGACTCAATCAGTCAATCACTCCTATCTCTGGTCTTTCTTCGCCTCAGAGATGTAAATAGATTGCTGACCGTCACTCTTGACATTTACGCTTTCGGGCCAGCAAGACAAATGGGACGAGAAAACGGTCGAAGGCAAAACATCCTTCTATCGAGCGGCCTTTCATTCAAGACCGCCGCTTAATTTGACACTGAACCTTCGATAATGGCTTTAATATGTACCTCATAAAAGATAGAAGGGACATTTGAATAAACACTTCCTTCCCATTATCTGTCTCTTGAGAAATTCCAATTTCAGTCTTTACTTTAATTATATCATCAATGTTTTTCAACAAAACTCCCTAAAAATGTGGTATTTCACCAGGTTGCCATGGTTTTGCAGGACATAGCCTATTTGACTGTCAGTTTGTGCTCTGAGTACAGATGAATGACAAATGTATGCATAGCCTACAATATGAGATCCCTTTATCCTATTCATGTCAAGTATGCAGGCAAACAGAAAATACTATTTATGTCTTCCTATCATTTGTTTATTTGGTCTCACGTCTATGTTACATGTTAGTTGATATTCTGCCTTGTAAGACAGTGTGGGCTTTGAATCTAATGATGCAAGATACCGCACCATGCTGTTGACCAATCACAGCAGAGCATTTAACCAATCAATCAGCGAAGGCTGGGCTCTTGTTCCTGATAGAGAGTAACAAAAGGTGCTGAAGCACAGGCAGTATGGGAAAAGTAAAGCACTTTTTGAGAACAGCATTTAAATAATATATATATAATATAAATGGGCCCCTTTAACACTGCAAGACAGGATGCAAGACATCGCCACAGTGAGAAATACGTTTTGATGCAAGTCCTTTCTCAAAATACATGTAGAAGGTTATGCTAAATATGACAGATGGCCAAAACTGCAAAACCCACGAGACTCAGCTGTCCGATAGGGTAATGGTATGGGGTCGTAGCAATAATCCACATACTCTACATATCATGTACCATTCACGCACATTACTGTTCACACACAAAAGTTGGCGCACACACTTACATAACTGAGCATGTATAATGGTGTAATGAATAAGCTTCTCCTGAGAGGACCGTTCAGACAACTCAATTAAGACTCCTTTTAATGAGACCCTAATGTATGTCCGTGGTGTACATCTGCGTGCAATTACAAGTGGAGTTCAATACATAGCCCTTTGTAATATTCATTCAATTGAGAGGTCCTTGATGATCCAATTGTTTAGATTATTTATGTTAATTAACCGGTTAGCTAATAGAGAGTAACTAAAGTCTTTTTATTACCTTCTCAACAGATGTCCTTCAAACTGCAGCACTAAAATGGAAATAAATTATTCTAATAGTCACTATAAAAATGTCTAGTTCCGTCAATGTTAATGTAATACTTTTACCATTTTAGGAGGAAACCGATGGAGCTAATGGAGCGAGTTTGTGCAGAATTTAGAGGGAATATTCTCTGCATCTGGACATGGCATTTAATGCAGAGAGAATATCAACACATCATAGGAGTCTATTTATGTTCTTTTCCACTGAGAAACCAATAAGATGTGACTTCCTAAAGGGTTAAAATAATCTGTTGAGCTTTTTGCACCAACATGTCAACACCGAATCAGATCTTTGAGCTATTCCTACAAATATTCAATCTAGTAAAAACAATTCAATAAGAGTTCCTGTCCCGGCAGACTGTTATCCTTCTGAACAGTTCTCACACAAGATGATGGTTGACAGTCACTGCTTGTTGTATTAATATTAAAACACATTTTAAAAAGACTCCAGCTGAGTCCAGCAGAGCAGCCTGGAACCTTGAACGACAGCGAATGGTTTCAAGTCTGGATCAATGAAGATGAAAAACTAAACGCTTGCTGAGGAGAATGGACGGAAATACTAAGTGGCTTCTGTTTGTTTCCATCCACCTGTCAAGAGTCTCTGTGATTCTCGACGCCGGATTGTCTCTGAGCATTACAGCTGTCACCACCAGGAAACACAGATCTACTTGTCTCAGCACGCTTCTTCAGGTTTATCTTTGCTCTTTCTTCTCATCTTTAAACTCTTTCCTCTCTTTTCATCCCGTCTCTTTGCTTTTCAGCAACTCTCCGTTTTTTGATCTTCCCCAATACTTTCAATTCCTCTCAGGACCTTTGTCCTACCTTTCAAAGTCTCCATTCTCTGCTCTGTCTGCCAAGTAATCAAGAGGAGGATCGATCACCACCTCCTGTCACTAACAGGATGCAGGCAATTCATTTGGATTGGCACTTTAGCACCAAAAACCCTATGGCATCATTGAAACCATATTTTCGTCAAGCTCTACCATCTTCATGTCTTTATTGAACTGTCACAGTCTTGTCTATGCCCCTGACTCTCTATTGTACCTGTACCTGTCTTTAATGCTGTTCAATTCACTGCAAGTGCCCATGGTTTTGGTAGAAGATGTACTGAACTTGTCTCTTATCCACATGCAGAGAAAATAGGTCCCTTGCGAGGATGCTTTTGTTGATCCTGTTTTGCGTGCTTGTGTCACCAAGCATTTTGAGACTCAACATAATCCAACCAGTTAAAGGAAAAGGAGGAAAGCGAAGGGACAACATGTAGCAAAGGGTCAAGGGTGTGAATCTAACCCAGTTGCAGTTACAGTTAGGACTTGTAAGATTAAAGATATTCTTATAATCATGACCTATGACAGCAAGAAATTATTATCATTATGACAAAGTGTATAAACTTAATGGATTAAAAAAGGTTTATTTCATTAAACAAACGTCATATAAACTTATAATGAGAAAGTAAAAAAAGAGACTGTAGCCTATATGACTATTGACTACTGAACATTAGTACAATCATATTCAGATTTGTCTTCATCTTGAAAGAATACCCTTTTATAGGACTTGAGGATCAAAACCTCCTGCATTCAAATCTGAAATAACTCAAATTCATCAAATAAGAAGATGAGAGAGAATATAAAGTTCAAACAAAAGAAAAGGTCACTCACTTTTTTCTTTTTCCTCAAGCCCACTCTCACACCGTCTACAGACACCACGATGTTGACTTTCTTCTTCTTGATGTTTTTCACCTTGAACTCATACTGTGGAAACAAGACAGACAGACAGCAATACATTACTATTTGTTGGGGGTTAAAATGTAGACAGTGACGTTGCTAAAGACTCAGATATTTAAAACATTGGTTGAACTTTTTGGTGAGTCATGTGGGTGCAGAAAAAACCCATTAAATAACTTAATAATAGTATCAGAATAAATGTTGAAGCGCAGTTTTTTGTCTTTTTTTTTGCGCCATCCATCTTTACATGTAGTTAAGGCCATGACATCCTGTGGTACAGGGGACTTTTACACCAACAGATGATGATGTTAACATTGGAAAAGTTCTTACATATTGATAACTAAGTTTGCTAACTTTCTCTTAAAAGCCTGAAAAAGGAGGAAATACATATTTTATAGTTATTATTATTTAAAATTGCCTTATATTTTGAATATGTTGTATACTAGAGAATTATTAGACGATGTATAGATTGGTCAATTAACAGAAAGTAATTGAGAATTATTTAGATGATAATTGTAATCACTTTTAATTCATGCTAAAATGGCAATGGCTGTTTTCAGCAAAACAAATATGTATTTTTCCGTTTTATATCATATTACAGATAATACCTTTGGGTTTTTAACTGACAAAACAAGAAATCAAACACTTTTAGGAACTGACTTTTTCTAGACCAATAATCTAGAAATGAATATACCAAAGATAATCAATAGGTGCAGCCATGTAGCACGGGTTTTGTTGATATCTATACATTTTATTGGAGATCTTGGAATATGTTTGTATGATGGCAACTTACTGCAGACAAAATTGCACGCCATGACCGTCAAACTATACAATAAGACTGTTATATGCCAAGCATTTATATGGCACCTTTCTGTAGTTAAAGATTTCTCGAATCCTTGCTACAGTATTTAAAACGTACTGAGGTTCAAAACCCTGCTGTGTAAGTGCTGAGGAGGGATCATTTAAAGTTGGCAAGAAAAACTCAATGAGCATAAGACTCCTTTGAGAAAGGCACTTGACCCAGACCAAGGGCTTGAGTTAAGCTGCTATGAGGCTAATAGCAGACAAAAAGTCCACCATTACATTTGTGTAAAGTAACATTTAAACAGTCACTTATTGAGTTGAACTTCTTTTACACGTTGCCATCAAAGAAACAAAATAAAGCAGTCATTCCCCTCCACTTGAATTCAACTTTTGACGTGTATGTTGAATCGATTTGTCACAGCAAATGACAAAGAGCCCTGTCGAATGAACACAGCATGGCATGCAGACCTCTGTCAAAGTCAATTTACACACCAAAGATCAGACTGAGACAACCTTCATCGTCTCCACTGCCTCTAACAGAGCTGTGAGCAAGGTCAGCGTTTGAATATCAATACAATGTGTGAAGAGTGGCTTTAATGTCTTAGAAGAATAATATGCTAGTGCAAGGGCATATGCAAACCCTACCTCCCTCTGCCGCAATTCTCTGCATGCTGATGTTGTTCTGAATGAGTAGGATGTCATTGAGTTGTATAGAAGCACCTGTCACAGTAACCAGGAGAGACATTAGCTCCAAGTACTGTCTGAAGTATCTATTTCTGACGTTCAGCACTCTCACAGAGTTGGCTAGTTGGCGTGTCCTGCTGGGTGAAACATTACGATGCTTCTGAAAGTGGAGTGGACGCTCATTAAAACTTCACTTGCCTGCAATTTTTATGTAAAAAAAAAAGTCTGGGTCATAAAAGTCTTCCATCCCTGAGATGATGCAAGATTCACCTCATTTGCTCAAATTAAATTCTGTTCCCAGGTATCGATGCTCGTTGGAAATCTACTCGGTGCAAGGAAGTGAGAAAATTGAAACTTACGGCGGCAAGGAAATGGCAACAGCATTGAGACAAGCTGACAAACGTCACTATCTCTAGCCATCATTTAGTTGACTGAGGCCACCACAGGTTTATTTTTAAAGCTGATTGAGCTTTGGCAGCTTCAAGTGATTGTTCAAGGTCGCTTTTGAAAGTTTCTGGCAGCATAGGTTGTACAAAATCTGCAGGGTCACACTGCTGCTGAAGATAAACTTCTGATGGTGTTTATCCTTTTCACTGAATCAGCTCTGAAAACAAATCTGAGTGGAAGTGCATTTTAGAACGTTATCAGTTGTTTTCCCCAGCTATTTGCCGTCAATCAACACATCAATATGAATCTGTCAGTCAGTCGCACTCTCTGTCCTTTGCTGTGTTTTGTTGGTCTTTTTAAGGTCTCGATTGTATCTAATGTGGTTGCATTTGCATCTACGGATTGGAGTGTGTTTGAGGACAATAACATCAACACACACACGGACACTGTCATCTGCTACATTGGGAAATGCATCGATGACGTGGTACCGAAGGTTTCTGTACGGACATTCCCAAATCAAAAGCCCTGGGTAAACGGTGAGGTGCGCGGCAAACTGAAAGCGCGCACTCTCGCGCACACAGCGGGAGATTTGGAGGAGTACAGGAAGTCTAGGTATGATCTCCGGAGAGCAATAAAAAATGCAAAGAGACAGTACAAAGAGAAGGTGGAATCTGACTTCAAAGGCTGTAACACTAGGAATATGTGGGCGGGACTAAGGACAATGACTGACTACAAAGGAGCAGCGGGGGGTGCTGCGGGAGTGTCTGCGTGCGCATCTCTCCCAGATGAGCTAAACAGTTTTTTTGCACGCTTTGAGAGCAGCCAGGCTGTGGAGGTACAGAGGGACCAGGAGCTACACTGCCCTTTTGTTTTAAATAGGGCAGATGTGTGTAAATCCTTTAAAAGGGTTAACCCACACAAGGCTCCTGGACCTGATGGCATCCCTGGCCGTGTTCTCAGGGTGTGTGCAGTTCAGCTGGCAGAGGTGTTCACAGACATCTTCAACAGGTCCCTGCTGCAGTCTGTAGTCCCCACATGTCTTAAACACTCCACCATCATTCCTGTCCCCAAAAAGACAATCATCACCTGCCCCAACGACTACCGCCCAGTAGCACTCACCTCCATCATAATGAAGTGCTTTGAGCGGTTAGTCAAATTATTCATCACCTCCTCCCTCCCTGAATCTCTGGACCCCCTGCAGTTTGCCTACAGAGCAAACAGGTCCACAGACGACGCCATAGCCCTCACCCTCCACACTGCCCTCTCACACCTGGACCCGAAGAACAGGAACACATATGTGAGAATGCTGTTCATTGACTACAGTTCAGCATTCAACACCATTGTGCCCTCCAAGCTGGCCATTAAGCTCAGAGACCTCGGGCTCAACAGCGCCCTCTGCGACTGGATCCTGAACTTCCTGACGGGCAGACCCCAGGCAGTGCGGGTGGGAAACATCACATCCTCCACCCTGATTCTTAACACCGGTGCCCCTCAAGGCTGCGTGCTCAGCCCTCTCCTCTACTCCCTGTTCACCCACGACTGCGTGGCCACACACAGCTCCAACACCATCGTGAAGTTTGCTGATGACACGACCGTCATCGGCCAGATCACAGACGATAACGAGACGGCATACAGAGAGGAGGTCGAAAACCTGACATCTTGGTGCCAGGAGAACAACCTCCATCTCAACATCAGCAAAACAAAGGAGCTGATTGTGGATTACAGGAAGCAGCAGGGAGAGGGACACGCCCCCATCGCCATCAATGGGACTACGGTGGAGAGAGTCAAAAGCTTCAGGTTCCTTGGGGTCCACATCACTGAGGACCTGACATGGTCTCTTCACACCACCACCATCACCAAGAAAGCTCGACAGCGGCTCTTCTTCCTCCGCAGGCTGAGGAGGTTCAAAATGGATTCCAGGATACTCTGCAACTTCTACAGGTGCACGATAGAGAGTATCCTCACTGGCAGCATGACGGCCTGGTACGGCAGCTGCACCGACCTCGATCGTAAGGCTTTACAGAGGGTGGTGAAAACTGCACAGCACATCACCAGGACGGAGCTGCCATCCATGGAGGACCTTTACTCCCAGCGGCTCAGGAAGAAATCACTACGGATTATCAAAGACCCCCATCACCCCAGCCACAAACTGTTCTTTCTGTTGCCGTCTGGCAGACGTTACCGCAGCATCCGGGCAAGGACAAGAAGATTCGGAGACAGTTTCTTCCCGCGGGCAGTGAGACTGTTAAACAATTGAACTGTTGAAACAACATCAAACATTCAACTGCTACTCAGTAGTATGTATCTAATACCTAATATATATATATCATTCCAATAACTTGTATATAGACTCATACTGCACTATTCCACATCATAACTTTATTTCATTTTTATAACTATTATTATTTTTGTATTGCTCTTGCTCTTATTGTTATTATGTTATGTTATTATGTTGCATTGTTGGAGAAGCCTGTGACATAAGATTTTCAACTGCATAATTACTCTGTAGCTATGTCAGATTGACAATAAAGAACCTTGAACTTGAACCTTGAACCACATGAGAGCAGTGAAGTAGGTTTATATCAGCATTAACACATTTTCAAGTGTTCTTCAGTTGTGGAGACTGGAAGCAAGTACCAATTAGATGAAGAGAAAAACTGGTTTCTTAAGTATCTCTTTATCTGTAGAGCAAACTCTAAGATGTTAACTTTGAATATTTCTGCTTACCACTGCTGGGATCATAAGCGCAAAGCGCAAGGGTCCTTTGAGGGACCCATCCATTTGAACGTTCCAGCAGCTCCTGACCTGCTTTGGAAAGTTGTGTGCAGTCAGGTGCTCAAAGTAAAGCAATAGATTGTTTAGAAGAAAGAAATGTGGATCTTGTGGATTTTAGAGTTTGCAACTTCAGTCATTTTATAGATAAATAATAAATGATTAAAATGCTCGAATGTTATTGTGCTGATTTTCTGCTTCATATTGGTATTTTGAGAAACGCCCTCTGCAAGGAACTTTGGGATTTAAGATTCTGAAGACCATTTACATGCAAAAAAACGTATATAACACACAGGAAAGGGAAAAACCCAAAAAGCATAATAACTAAAGTCCTTTAACTTAAAAGGAAAAATGTAAAATAAGCTGGTTTTCCATCACAA